TAAACGGCCTGACTTTGTATCTACTATAAAGCTATAGCAATCAAAACAGCATGACTTTGGATAAAAAGAAACATAGACAATTGGAACAGAATGGAGAGCCCAGAAATAAAACCACATACTGATAGCCAGCTTACTTTCAATGAATGTGCTCAGAACACACAATCTCTTCAGTAACTAGATTTTGGTAAAACAGATAATCAAATGTAGAAGAATTATACTAGATCCCTCTCTCTTACCACATAAAAACAAAACCAAAAAAGACCTTCAAGGGCCAGCAGGTGGTGTGGGGGTTAAGACATTAGACCCCACATGGCTAGCTGCACAGTTTGAGTCCTGTACCAGGTGGCTTGAGAATCATGCAGAACAAGTGTGTGTGCATGCCCAAAATCCTGAGAGGAGGCCAGAGGAGAAGAGATTACAGAGTGGCCATTCACCCTGGTGGGTGATTTCTCACTTTCTCTTTTTTTTTCTCTGTGGTGAATGCACATGCCTTGCAGTAAGAACTAAAAAAGAACAAAGAAAAAAAGAAAGAAAAACTCAAAATGGATTAAACACTTAAATGTTAAACTAAATACCTTAAAACTACTAGAAGAAAACATAGTGGGAAAAGTTCTGAGCTTTTAGTCTGGGCAATAATTTTTTGAATATGACCTCAAAATCACAGACAACAAAAGCAAAAATAGACAAATAAGATTGCATCAAACTAAAAAGTTTCTGCATGGTAAAGAAAGCAATCAATAAAATGAAGAGACAACCTGCAGAATGGGAGAAAACACTTGCAAACTATATATCTGATAAGAGATTAATAACCAAGATATATGGGAATATTATACAAATCAATAGCAAAGAAAGTTTAAAAATGGGTAAAAAACCTAAATGTATATTTCTCAGAAGAACATATACAAATGGTTAACAGGTAAAGGAAGAAATGCTGAGCATCACTAGTCATCAAGGAAATGCAAATCAAAATCACAATGAAATATCACCTCAGTCCTGTTTGTATGACTATTATCAAAAAGGCAAAAGACAACAGCTGTTAGTGAGAATGTGGAGAAAAAGAAACCAATGCACATTTCAGGTAGAAATGTAAACTGGTATAGCCATTAGAGGAAACATATGTAGGTTTCTCAAAATGTTGAAAACAGAACTGCTATATAATCCAGTAATTACACTACTGGGTATATACTTGAATTAAATGAATTCTTTATGTCAAAGAAATAGTTAGTTGCATTCCCATGTCTATTATAGCACTATTCACAACAGCCAAGATATAAAATTAACCTTAGTCTATTTGTAGGTGACTAGATAAGGAAACGTGTCTATATCCAACAGAATATTTTTCAACCATGAAAAGAAGGAAATTCTGTCATTTGCAAAAACACAGATGCACCTGGAAGACATAATGTTAAGTGAAGTAATCTAGGCACAGAAAAGCCAATATTGCATGATCTCATTCATATGTGAAATCTAAATAAAGTTAATCTTCTATAATTAGAGAGTAGAATGGTAGTTACCAGAGGTGAATATGGTTGGGGATAGGGATTGGAAATATATTGGCCAAGATATATGTAATTAGAGTTACATAATAGAAATAAATCAAAAGGGTCTGGGACCCACAGTTAGTGTAATGGTTATGTCACTGAACTCCCATGTAGTCGAATGCGATTTGAATCCTAGACCCAGTGGCTTAAATTCATGCCAGGCGTGTGTGTGTGCATGCCCAAGATCCTGAGAGGAAAATGGAGGAGAAGGGATTGCAGTGTGGCCATCCCCCCGGGGGGTGATTTCTCAATTTCTGTCTTTTTGTTTTTCTGGTGAGTGCACATGCCCTACAGCAAAAACCTCTCTTAAAAAAAAAAAAAAAAGAAAAGAAAAAGAAAAAAGAAAAGAAAAGAAAATCAAAGGGGTCTATGTCTATTGTAGAATGTGTGGACTATAGCTAATGATAGTATTCTATAGTATTCTATTCTTGAACTGCTCTAGAAGAGTGGAAATGAAATGTTACTGAGTAAGTATATGAGGTAATCATTTGTTAATTAGCTAGATTTAAACATTCCACAATGTATCTATATTCCAAACACTATGTTTTATGTGATAAATAAATCCAATTTTATGTAAATTTAGGAAAGAATGAGAAAATATATTCAAAGTGTTAAGTAAAAAACAATATCAACCAAGAATACTATCCTGGCAAGATTATCCTTCATATGGGAAGAAATGAAAAAAAATTCTCAGATTAAAAAAAAAAAACCTGAAAGAATTTACCAACACCAGACCAGTTCTCCAAGTTCTGAAAGAAATGCTATACCAGGAAAACGGAAGTTAGACACACAGAAATAAGAGTATAAAAAACAACAAAGAGAATGGCCAAGGGACAAGTCTGGAAAGATCAATAATACCATTAATATTAACTTCCAGAATTTAAATAGAAAGATCAGATCACAGTAACACTCGAAATTCAACAGAAGAGAGATTAATTATATGAGACTAAACTGGTTAAGTAGAATTTTATGACTTGTGACTAAAACATTACTGATTTTTCTTCTATGCTTTGTTTTCTAGATTTAAGAATTTTTGTCTTCTCTTGAACTGTTGATAAGTTCGTCTACCTACTGTTTAAATAGAATCCTAACCTTTTTCCTGGCTGTAAGTCTTAAGCAAACATCTCTCAACATTTTTTTAATTTGATCTATTAAAACTAAAACTGTTTTTCTTGAAATAAAAAAATGCATAAAAATACCTATGTAATGACTGCAATACACTAAATAGCCCCAGCTAGGTGCTACTTTATAGTATGTTCATTCTACTCACTAAGGCTTATACCTAAAGTTAGACATGTGTTCATAGATATGTATATATCAGCCATACTTGCTGTTGAAAGTATTGAGCTTAATTCAGACCTTTTGTGAATCAATAAAAAGTGGGAGAAAAAAACATGAAAAGCAACTGTAGATTCCAGAGGCAGTATGGGAGGAGGGTGGAAAATGGCAAAGGGTGAGAGGTAGGGGATTAAGGTGGGGGGGGAACTACCTAAGAAACAAGAAATAGAAAATTATTTGTTGATGATGATACGTATGGTAATAACCTTGAATGAGCCAATATAGGGTATTCTGGATGAAAAATCTCATTTTGTATACTGTAATGAAGTACAGTGAATGAATGTAAATTAAAAATAAAATTAATTAATTAAATTAATATTAGAAAAATAAATTAGACATCAAAGTATAAATACATATAATAAAATATACCTGTACATTAACATAAAAATGATTTTATAGCTAAAGACATCAAGAATGAGTGTCCAAAAAAATACTGACTGAAAAAAACATAATTGCATCATAACATAAATTATACTAACTTATAAGTGATGAGTTATTATCATTAATATAACATAGATATACATAATAAGTAAGAAGGAAAATAGCTAAGTAGTAGAAATGGATAACTTACAGGTAAGAAAAATGGCAAAAACCATATCTATAATTGACGAGGACTCAAGAAATGGCTTAAATCATAAAATTATTTATTAAAAAGCACAGTTAAAACAAGCTTCAGAATCTAGCTTCTCAAACATGGAATCAAGAACACACATTTCCATTTCTTTCATTTCTGTTTATTGCATCTTAAAGCTATCACCTTTATAGATTTACACATCTGTCAGTAATAAGCCAGGATACCCATGTACTAACTGATGCCCAGTAAGAGGTATAAAACATTTTCATTAACATAAAAGCAACAGTTTTCAGGTTCACTCCATTGAAACTTGCTAGATTTCTATTCAATTTTTAACCAGAAAAATAAAATGTCTTAAATTACTTTTTCTAGTTATAACCCATGATATGGTTGAATATGTCTCCCAAAAGTTGTGTGTTAAAATTTAAGCCCTAATACAACAGTATTAAGATGTGGGGCGGGTGGAATCTTTAAGAAGTGATTAAATAATGAGCAATTTGCCCTCATGAATGGGTTAATTCATTTCTGGATTGGTGATTTAATGTGTTAATGAGTTGTCATTGGATGAGTTATTTCTTGAGAGAATGGACTATTACAAAATGGACTCAACTCACCCCTTGTGGTCTCATTTTACATATGTCCACCTGCCCTTTCTATCATGTTTTGATTCAATACAAAAACTCTCACCTGAAGCTGCTGCCATGCCACTGGAATTCGCAGTGTCCAGAACCATGCGCTGAATACACTCCTTTTTCTTTATAAATTACCCTATCTTGGGTATTCTGTTAGAGCACCAGGAAATTAACAGAAGGTGAACAGTTTTGAGTCTCGGACCTGGTAACTTAAACTCATGCCAAGAGCGTGTGCGTGAGTGCCCAAGATCCCGAGAGGAGAATGGAAGAGAAGAGATTGAGGTGTGGCCATCCCCCTGGGGGGTGATTTCTTGCTTTCTGTCTCTCTGTCTGGTGAGCATATGTGCCCTATAGCAAAAACTTCAAAAAGAAATAATAATAATATTGTAATGTTTACACAGTATTACTATGAAAAGACAAGTATAAAGCACAGAGAAATTTTGTGATATTACATGGCCACATGAGCAGCAAATGAGAGTGATGAGATTTTCCAGATGAAAACCCAGGGTTGTCTAGAAGTTCCACATTTTTTACTATATTAGCATGGCTATCCCCCTTGGTGGGTGATTTCTCACTTTCCCTCTCACTGTCTCTCTCTGTCTCTCTCCTCTCTAGAAAGTGTACATGCCCTATGGAAAAAACATTTTTTCAAAAAAGAGGTAAAGAGAGAGTAAAAAAGAGAGAAAGAGGGAGAGGAAGAGGAGGTAGAAAATGTAAGTTAAGTATGATCCATGTGTGCTTACACTCAGATAATAGTTCATGCACATTCAAATTTGACTGCATTATTCCAAGGTACTTCCTAAGGTGGATGGAAAGCTCAGGCAGAAAAGGGGGAGGAGATATGCACCCTGAAGGAAAAAGCATTTCATATACTCAAAGGTGTGTCAGGTGGTTAGAAAGTGGGCAGAGCAATAGACAGGGAAGCAGAAATACGCAGTCTTCATGGAAGCCTCATTTCAGCAACACAATTTTGTCCTTTTACTGACAAATCTTATTTCCTTAACACACTTAAATAAAGTCTTGAAGATGGAAAAAAAAAATCTTTCGAGTGCTGTTTATTCACTAAATGCATGGTTGACTTATTTAATTTCTGATTTTCTGATAAACAGTGAGTGAAATGAGTTCTTGGGAAAAAAATGAGAACATAATTCTGAATTTATTGTATGTATACATCAGAGTTGGATATATGGGGTTCCCACGTGGGTTTCTTACTTTACAGTCAGCATAGATTTTCTGGAGCATTTTTCTTTTCATTTGCTGGTGGCATCAAACCTTATTTAGGTAGTGCAGGGGATGCTGTTTCTGCCATGTGAGGATTTGATGGCATAACTAACACAACCTGTGAAATAAATCAGAATGACACCAGTGAGTCACCCAAATGACCTTAGGGTTTCCCTTTCTTGCCAACATATATCATCATTATCATAGTGTACTCTTCTCTGTATTCAGAGTCTTGACATCCGTCTGTTGGAGCTCATTGGGCATTCTTTAGATCAGGTGAGATCTGGGACAAATATTTAGTGGTGGGTTTTAGCCTGAGATGCTGCTAGTTGTTGCTGCGGTATTGCAAATGAATTAATCTTCCATGTGGATGATGGGGCCCAACAAGTTTGTAAGCAAGGTGTTATGGAAAATACAAACCTCTTCTAAATCAAGTACACGTTCTGACATTCTGATGATAGTAGCATACCCAAGTTATGATTCTCTGGCTATGAATAAAACATTATATAAACCACACTAAAAGGAAATATTGCAAAACTAAGGAAATTTCTGGCTCTTCTAGTCAGTCACAGTGGTGAAGCAGTAACACAATGCTCTGCAATACTGAAGCCACATGTGGATATTCCACGTTCATGTCCCAAGTTCACCCTGCACACAACAGAAGTTCACCCTGCACACAACAGGTGCATGAGCACTTGTCTTTGATCCTGGCTGGCTGAGGCTGGCATGAGTAGTGCTATGAAATCCCTGTTTGGTTTGTATTTTTCTCTCTCTTGAAATAAAAGTTAACTAAAATATGTAAAATTTTGGCTCCCCCCCCCCCATAAACTTAGTATGGCATGGGTTTGGTGGGGAACAGTGGAGGAACTAGGAAGAAATGGAGACGTAGGCATTGTACACTCCAACCACCACTCTTCTGGATTAGTGCCAGGAGATTAGTAAGAGAAACATTTCCTAATTCTGCAACTACTCTAAGAGCAGAAGGTGACAATTACTAAGAAATTTCCCCCCATACCCTAATGCTTCTCTCAATAAAAATAAAATGCTTCACTCAATGAAAGGATAAAAATAATGGGTAATTGCTAAGAAACTGTCATTGCTATGATTTTGTAATTCAAAAACCCAGTATTACTAGTGCTAATGTAATTTACTTCATCTCTCTTTTCTGTGATTAAGGACTGTAGTGGTGTGAGATGTGGTAAGCACAGAATCCCAAAAGAAAAGAGATATGAAGAGATGGGGAATAGCACTAGAAACAATCTCATCAAACAATTATTGAGTATTTGGCTACAGATTTTATCTGGCCCTGGGCCTTTGCTTAATAAAGCCAATGACTAGTCAATTAGTAGCTGGAGTTTTACTATCCATTTGGTTACTCCAGAACCCTTAATCCTTGGAGGATCCCCATGTCTTATTCTCCCAAGAGCATCTTTCTTGATGTCTTCTCTCTTTACACTTCCTACTCCCCTATATCCCTGTGACATTCTTTCTGCTTAGCAACCAGGAGGATCTGCTGTAGGTCTCAGGGTAAGAGAATGGGAAAGTGCATGCACAAATTGATAGAGCAGTTTGAAGCCCTCTATGACACTGACATTTCTTCTGTAGCACAGTAAATTTTGTTGTTAAGATAATGAGGTAACATCGGGTGCCCTTTGAGGGTCTCTCCATTGTAAAGCATTCTTTGACTGGAATAAGAGGAGATGTTCCTTGAAGGAGTAAGGATGGGGGGGTGAAGAGAAGAGGTGTCTTTTATTCACTGTAGCAGACAGAATTCTAAGATGACACCAAGTCATGCTCTTGTGATTCTCTTCCCTTGAGTGTTGGTGGTAACTGTGTGTCTGATTCCATGTTACACCTACGAGTAGATACTGATCAGTTGACTTTCAGTCTATCATAAAAGGCATTATTTTGGATGAACTTTATCATGTGAATCCTCTTACCAAACATTTTCACTTTCCTCTTGGCCTCAAAGAAGAAAATACATTGTCATGAGTTTTATAGTTGAGAGAAAAAGAATTCTACCACATGAAGATGGAGGAGGCCTGTAAGGTTCAAATGAGATCACAGCCCCAGACAACTGCTTGAGTACAGCCTTGTAAAATCTGAGCAAGTGAATTTGTGCCCAGTCACCTGACTCACAGAAACTGAGAAATAATAAATAATAAAGGTTTGCTATTTTAAGTCTTTAGGTTGTGTAATTGGTTATACGGCAATAGAAAACTGATAAAAACATCTTCAAATGAATGTCAATACTCACCCCAGAGTTACAACAGGTGACTCTGCATCCAAAGACAGAGAGGGACACAGCAATGCAGAACTCCAGCACACTTAAAATGAGCACAATAGCATCCAGACCCTAGATTCATAACAAAGGGACATGAGAAATAGACATGACAAGTTCCAAATATTTAGCACTGATTATGATGCCAAAAGAAAAAAAAAATACGTACTTTCCAGGAGCCAGAAAACCTGAATACTCACTGTAGTCTAGGCCAATTCTTGGCCTACTAAATGCCACTTCTCACTTTTATCACTGATTGCATAATCACAGATTTTTTTTCCTCCTAGCACACTATTTTCCAGTGATATTGTAGGTACAGAATATGAATGTATTTTTTTAAATGTGTGTATGGGGGGCAAATGTAAAAGGGATCATTAAAATAACTGTCATATTAGTCCTTTGGAGCACTAGAAATTCTCATATAGTTGATAACATGGTCTGTAGTTATTCTAGGCAGAATAAGTGTCTTTCAAAGAGGTCCACATTCTCAGTCTCAAAACCTATGGATATATCGGGTTATTTGAAAAAAGAAATTAAATTTAAAGAGGTAATTAAGGTTGCTTATTAGCTGAGATAGGCAGATTAACTCAAGTTGTTCATGTCAACCTAGGCCAGCACCTCTATAAGTGGAAGAAAGAAGCAAAAGTGTCAAAGTTCAAGAGAGATTTGGAAATTCTGCACTGTTTCCTTTGAAGATATGTGTATGAGAAGACATGACAAAAATGTAGGTAGCCACTAGAAACCAGGAAAGACAAGAAAACTGATTCTTCCTGGACCTCCAAAAGGAAGACAACCCCCTCCAAATTGTTGATTTTAACCTCATCAGAACATTTTGAACTTCTGACCTAAAGAAACAAAAGATAATCAATGTGTATTATTTTTAGTCACTTTTAGAGAGATTTTTGTTTGTTTGTTTTTTCTTTCCTTTATTTATTTATTTTTTTTGCGGCATGTATGTTTACGAGAGAGACAGATAGAAAGTGAGAAATCAGATTCCAGGAGGGGGTGGCCATGCCGCAATCTCTTCTCCTCCATCTCCTCTAGGGATTTGGGGGATGCATGCCCACATGCCCTGCATGAATTTCAAGGCAACGATAATGTGTACATAATTTTTAACAAAGAACCTTACATGTTTTTGTGCCTGATAAATGCTTTTTTTTTTCAGATTACCCTCACACATACTCCTCACCATCCAACACCCTCTGTCTCTGGAATCTATACTTGTCCTCTCTACCTTCACATCTTTGAATCTTTCAATTTTACCATAACAGTGCATATATATGGAGTGGGAACATACAATGCTTGTGTTTCCTAGTCTGATATTTCACTTAGTATTAAATCTTCTAGATTTATCCACTTTGTATCATATAACAGAGACTTGCTGTTCTCTATTGCTGAGTGGTATTCCATTGTGTATATGAGTCACACTTTTTAGAATTATTTTATTTAACTTTATTTATTGTTTTAATACTTAAAGTATTAACTATTAAAGAGACACAGAAAGAGAGAGTGAGAAAGAGGAAAGTGAGAAAGCAACCTCTAGGTCTGGGACTTGAAACACGGTTGACCATGTGGAAGTCCAGTGCTCTTAATCACCATGCTACCTGCTGGCCCCATGGGCCATGTTTCTTTTTTAACCCTGTCATCAATTGTTGGGTGCTTTGGTTGATTCCATTTCCTAATTCTTGTGAACAATACTGCAATACATATGGATGTGCAAGTGTCCTTCAGACTGAATATTAAATTACTGTCCTTTAAATTATTATTATTATTACTTTTTGAGAGGTTTTCACTATAGGGCACATGCGCTCGCCAGACAGACAGAGAGAGACAGAGAGAGAGAAAGTGAGAAATCACCCCCCAGTGGGGATGGCTATGCCGCAATCCCTTCTCCTCCATTCTCCTCTCGGGGTCTTGGGCATGCACACACACGTGCCTGGCGTGAGTTTTAAGCCACTGGGTCCAGGACGTGAACCGCAGTTGACTGCATGGGAGTCCAACGACATAGCCATTACACTAACTGCTTGTTCCCTCCTTTAAATTATTGAGCTAAAAAGCTTCTGCATAGCAAGGGAAACAATGCATATTCTTTTTCTCTCCATAGTTAGGGACAGTACCTCTACTGTGAAAGAACTAGTGGTTTAAGAGTTCAGCACATGAGCAATCCAGAGTCAAGTGGATCTTGAGAATATTTATATTTGCTCATGCCTTTAACGGATTCAGTAGCCTCTCTTTTTCAGGCATTGTAATAGGTGTAGAGCAGCAAACAAAACAGACATTTCTCCCAATCTAGATTTGGTAAATTTTCTATAAGATGGTGATATGGAGAGGCCTGGAACTCATGAATAACTCAAGGCCAGTAATTGCTGAAATTTCCCATTCCTCTGCGAACTCACTGTCCCTCCCTTGAGTGATAAAAGTAACCTGAGACCTTGAGAAATTAGACTCCCTGCTTCTCTGCCTCTTTCCTTTTTAGGGCAAATCCCAATCCCCTATCCCCAATAGGTTACCTGTAGCATGCTGAGACTCTCCCTTCCCCAACTCCCCCATAAAAGATTATGCCTAACTCTCCATGGGACTGGAGGTTCAGAGTGTTAACTCCTCCATGCCTGCTGGCATAATAAAGAGTTCTTCTTTCTCTCCTGAGTTCTCCATTTCATTTATCAGTGTCTGTTTTTCTGCAACATGTTGGTGCATTGGCTGGGAAACAAAATCAAACTGGCTCTTTGAGCCACTGATCCCAGGGCATTTCCTCCTGGGATGGGCACTTTGGTGTGGAAAGATAGGCATGCCCCTGTCTTGTTTAATGGGATCCCTCAGCTGGGGTGCCTGCCCAAAGGTCAAGCATTCCTGGATCACTGGACTCTGATTGGAGACAGGGATCAACTCCTGGACCCTGATGGATCAACCATGGTCAACTCTGGTAATTTGGTAAGCCCCCAGGGATCTGCAGAGCCCTAGTTAGACAGATCTACTCAGATTGAGTATAAGAGGAGACCCAATCACTCTCCTTGGGTCACAGGACAGGCAGTTAGGGCTCATCTGATGTATTGGCTGGTGTCGAGAGGGAATGTATAACCACTGAATGAATGTGACTGTTTGTGATGAGCTAATGTGTTTGTGGCTCTATGGCATCATGCTATAGAGCATGATTTTGTCTGTTATTTGCATTTCTGTGGTGGTTCCATAAAGGCTAAACAGCAGAACTGACACTGGGGGACCCAGTTCCTGCCTGCGTATTCAGTCTGGCAGAGGTTCTATATCTGATTGCTTATTGCCAAGGAACTACATAAAGCCCACAAACACAGCCTGACCGATCCTCTCTGGGGAACACCCATCCTTTGTCTGTTGTGACATAGTTTATGGAAGGGGGGCACAGAGACCATTAGGAGGGCTTTCCCTGTAGAGGAGGATAGGCAGAGTAGTGAATGTAAGGTTTCCAGTTCTGTCCCTGTGAGTTGGAACATGAATTCCTCCAGACTACATGAAAAACATCCTCCCAGAGCCATCCTGACTCACCTACAAAGACTTCCACTACAGAACAAAACCTGCCCATTCTGTCTGGGAAAGGAGAGGGCAGGCTTTACTCTCTACCTAGATAACCTCCCTTCATCAATTAGCTTAATAGACTTCCATTCTCTTATCTTCCTTCATTCTACCTGCCAAACACCAAAGGAATGCCCCTCTCAAACATCAGGGTATCAACTGTTGGAGGGCCAAGAAGACAGACTCCAGAGAGAGACTGCTGTGGTCTTTCTGATTGGCGCCTTGGCCGAGGTCTCCCTAAAGAAATTAAACAAAGTTATTGCCCACACTGCCTGGCCTTTACAGCAGCCCCCCTGAGAGGCTGCATAGCTTCTGAGCCTCTGGGCTAAGACTCACTCCCAGGACCCACCATTCCAATGAATGATCACTTCATTCAACCAGTGATCTCTTGAGCCTTTTGAGAAGTCAGGCTTTTGATAACTGGATAGGTAAGAGATATTTGGGATACGATGAGAAAACTTCAATTCAAGTCTTCTAAGCCTACTGTGCTGGACTGCATGGAAATTTTAAAAGGGCTTCTCTGGTGATTATGGAGTTAAATTGAAACTGGAGAGTTTGAGAGCCCTCTGTGATAATTAATGGCCTTCTTTTAAAGTGGGATTGCTACCAGAAGGAACTTTACATTGCCCCACTGTGTGGGCTATGTACAATGTAGTTACTGGCACTCCAGGCCATCCCGAGCAGTTCCTTTATACTGACTCCTGGCTACAGATAACCCAAGTCATTCCACCCTGAGCATGGATCTGCATAAGAGGGAAGAACTAATGCACTATTTTGGCTGCTTATATCATGCCACCTGCTCCCCACTCTGACCAAAAGAAACATGTGGCTCCCAACCTGCAGGACCCTCCAGAAGAGGAGCCATTAGCAATTCCACCCCCATATGCCCTAGCTGAGCCAGTGACTGAAACCCTGTCCCCATTTGTTTCTCCAGAGCCTGAAGAGCAGCCCAAGAGACCAGCACCAGCTCCACATGCTCAAGAGGGAGGCCACCAGCTGTCCTGAGTTTCACGCCCAGATTCTGCCTCACTCACCATCACCTAGCAAGCCACTGCAGCCCGGGATAATTTTAGTCTTCAGATGCCCTTATAGGAGACCTGAAGACCTCTCCAGATAAGGACAGATGGGGCTATTATGGAAGGCAGAGCACCCTCTACTATCAACCCTTCACCACCACTGATTTGCTTAATTGGAAACACCACCCCCCCTCACTTGGAACAGCCCCAGGAAATGATAGATCTCATGGAGTATATACTACAAACCCACCAGCCCACCTGGGACAGCTGTCAGCAGCTACTCCTTACCCTTCTTAGTACAGAGGAGCACTGCAGAGTTCTTGTAGCAGCAAAGAAATGTCTACAAAAGCATGCTCCCAACCATGTGGTAGATTCTGAGGCTTGGGCCAGAATTGCTTTTCCAAGTGAAAAGGCTACTGATATTTCAATACTGAGGATGGCTGCATGAACCCCGCAAGTATTGAGAGGCACTCCTGCAGGGAATGAAAGCCAGTGCAAAGAAGCCTACAAAGA